TTTTAATTTTGATTAATATAAATAATTATAGTTTAATGATGATTAATTAATAAAATTTGATTTGATATTATTTTTTATTCGAATAAATATTTAATTTAATTTGTCATATTATTAAAAAAATATCACTTAATTTGTCATGTCATCAAAAGATATTTTTTTTTATTAGTGAGGTGGGACCCATTTAAATGAATTTGACACACGGTAATATGATTTGGCACACAGTAATATGAAATGTCAAAATGTTTGTCCATATCATCACTTTGCTCTCCACATCATAAAAAAAAATATAAAAAATACCACATAAGCAGAGTTAACGACTCAAATTAACAGAAGGACTAACAGAGTGCATTTTTTGTAGTTGAAGGATTAAAAAAGTGCAAAAAATTGTTGAGGGATAAAAAATGTTCATTTCTTAAAGTTGAGGGATCAAATTTAGCATTTAACCTTATTAATACTGCATTGACATTAAGGATGGCAACGGGTCCCCACGGGGGCGGGGACCCCCTCCCCATCCCCATCCCCGTCAATGGCAGGTACGGGGATCCCCGCGGGGAATTTTGGTGGAGGGTCAAAAATTGCCTCCGTTCCTATCCCCGCGGGGAATAATAGGTCCCTGCGGGTATTCGGAGTCCCCACCATTCACTGCTTATTAATCAAAATTCCAAAAGAAAATAGCAACTTTACAGAATCCTATATAGCAAGCAAACAAATATAATCAAGATCACTCTTTTAAAACAAGCTGGAGGTGAGCGGTGGTGAGTGAGGAGCGTTGCTGACTTGTAGTGATGGGCTGACAACACGGTGCCACGGTGAGAGGCAGGATGAGATGACCCAGCGGCAGCCTTAGAGCTCAACTGGAGGTGAGCGGCGAGTGTTGCAGGGCAGCAGGGGCCAGGGGTTGTAGTGACGGCAAGGTTGAGAACTGAAGGGAATCACTGTGAAGGTCCGTGGAGATGAGGGCAGAGTTTGAGCAAGAGTGTGGTAGAGGATTATAGGAGAGGAAACTCAGAGATTGGCTGGAGAGACCGACCGGCATGGTGAGTCGGTGAGCGGTTGAGAGCTGAAGGGAAGCACCGATTCATAATGATCCGTGGAGATGAGGGCAGAGTTTGAGCAAGAGTGTGGCAGGGGACTAAAGGAGAGGAGACTCAGAGACTGATTGGAGAGGAGAGACCGACGTCGACCGAGAGAGGAATGAGGAATCCCAATTTTCAAATTCGTAATTTGCAATTGCAAGAAGCGGCAAGCAAAAGAGAGACTGAGTGAAATGTCCTCCTGCTAGGGTTATATGTAAATCGGGCCTATAAATTGGGTTGTAAATTGGGGCTGGGCAATTAGGTTTAGGATTATTAGATTAACAAAAAAAATTGGGTTGGGCTGAGAATTGGGTTTGAAAAAATTGATAAAAGAATGGGTTGTGAAATTTAAGTTATGTTGGTATCAGGTTAACTAATTAAATTGGATAAGTAAAAATTAATTGATAATATATGTACAAAAAATATATATAAACAAATTTATTTTTTTTTATTTTATATGGATCCCCACGGTTCCCCACGGGGTGGAGAAAATTCCCCGCGAAATTTCATGGGTAGAAAATTGCCTCCATCCCCGCCCCACGGGTAAGAATATTTTGAGAATCTCCATCCCCATGGCGGGTATCTCCACGGAGCTCCGCGGGTCGCGGAGAAAATTGCCATCCTTA